GCAGCTCTAGTGAGTTACTGATGCCTGCTTGTACAGCAGGTGCAGGAAATTAAATGATAATGTTGTCTGAGCGTCAGTGCACTTTGCTGCTGTTGGGGAGGCTGGAAAAGTTGATGTTGGTGCAGTTGCTGTCAGTTCATGTGACTGACAGAATAACTCTGCTAATGAATAAGGTGCCTCGTGAAAATAATAATGAAAATTGTATCTCGGGTATGTGATGTGGTTTTCTTACAGAAAGTGCTATTGGAGAAATTTGTTGTTTTCTGTGTTTCATTAAATTCCCGTGTATCTATACGTTGCAGTCAGCTTAGGAGAAAAGCAGATACTGTCTTTAGAGGACAAAAGATATGTTGTTGAAGCCAGACTGTATTTTTGTGAGATTTAAACTGTAAACTCAATGCAGGCTTCTTTAGGCACTTGTATGTTTTTTGAAAGGCAGAGAAATACCGTGTTTTGGACTGAAACAAGTGCATGTTGTCCTTGTTCGATTTGAAGACCGCTTCAGCAGTCACTGGCGGTGTTGTGACACCAAACAGTTTAGCTAATATATTTAAAATTTAAAGCCTGGAGAAAAATAAAAGATAATTAGTCATTACTACTGAAATGAAAGTTTAGTGTCTTTACAGCTAATATCTCTGGGTTAATATTTCTATGGTGTTACTTCTGAATTAATAAAGAACTGAAGGAGTATATTTGTAATTTATTTCTAAATTTAAATAAGTCTCTTCTTGTAGCTCCTTACAACAGATAAATTATACAGTTTGCATGTGATTAGTGACTTCCTCTCTACAGTTAAGAAATTCTTGTTTGTAGTTCTCTGATGGGGTCAGGGGAAAAGAATAAGAAGAGATTGTTCTGAATATGATTATTTTCTGTTTCAGATTTGTAGCTGATTGTTCACATGTGTCCAGGAGGAGATGAAGTACATTGGATCCTGCATAGTTTGGCTTTGTATGACAGTCTTCCTCCTCCTTCCTGTCTCTACTTCTGTGGCTGTCAGTGACCAGACAGGTACTTTCATTTTTCTTGCCCATCACAGACCAAAGGCATAAATCTCAGTACTGAACAAATCTGAACAAATAATTACAGTACATGGAAAATAAGCAGTATGAGCAGGTAAAATTATACAAGATTTTTAAAAATGTCTTTTTTAAAAAAAAGTCTTAAGTTTGGAGCAGTTCCAAAACAGCCTTTCTGTTTCCTGTGCTTGGAAGATTCATGTTTGGAAGCAGTTTGTAGTTCCTAGGAGTTTTGGTTTGTACTCTTTCAATTTAATGTGCAAAACAAGTTCTAAATCGGAGCTTGCAGAAGTTTTGTGAACAAAATCATGTGTCTCTATTAGAACAGATCAGTGACTGCATTGACTTAAACAACATAATGCTTATTCTAATCTCACCTAAACTTAATCCCCAGACCAGGTCATACATTTCACAAATGTAGAGTTAGACAAAACCCTGGGCCTGAGAAGACAGGAGAAGGGAATATAATGATAATGTTTAACGTAAAAGCTGTTACTCGCCTTCTGATAGTTTTCTAATTTCTCTGTTTTCTTCTCTCTCTTACTGTCTACATGTTATCTAGCTCTCTCACTTAAACTCTGTGTTGACTGTCCAGAGTATGGTAAATTCTGACTTAAAGGTATATCACATGTGCTTTTAGAATAAGGAATTGTTGGTTTTCTCTAGAATTATTCAGCCTCAGCACATACCTCAACTTTCTAGAATTTTCCTACAATTATTAGCAAGGAAAACGTGCTTGTTGCTGTTTAAATATAAATAAAAAGATTTTTTTTTCATTATTTTTTTCAGAAAATGAAACTAATTTTTAGTAACACTGTTTTTCCAGAAACCTGATGAAAGGTAATAGAAACTATATATATACAGCAACTTGGAATCTCCATAACACATTTAAAACTCAGGCCCAAGAAATTTAAAAAGTCAGTGACTAGGATAATAATCTTTTCACTACATCTGGAAACAATAAATAGTAATATTTAATAAAAATAAGTGTAATGTGTGGGCTCTAAGTTAAGAATAATGCATTGCGAAGAGTCTGAATTTAAGTCAAATACTTTTTTTGTCTTATATTTTTAGGGCAGCAAGGCTAAGTGCTCCACTGATTAATTCTTTTTAAGCCTTGTGAGAGAGTGAGCCTACATCAGAGCTGTACAATCATTCTCTTCAGCTGTCTGAAAGAAGCAAAATAGGTTGTCTGTCATTGCTAGCTGGTAAATTGGTGTGACTACAGAAGATTACATAATAATATAAATGAATAAATGTAAACTTTAAAAATTTTAAATCAAAATGCCAGGAAGCATTGTCTCTTTTCTTTTTATATTATCTTTTTTTTTTTTTTTTCCCAGATGAAAAGATGTCTTAGTAAAAGGTAGACCAGTCATAGAAGATGTGACAGATACACTGAACTGCTAAGAAACAGGGTATCTGAACTGTAAATTATTTCTATTAGAAGTTTGTGGCTAGGCAGCCAGCAGGGAAGTTGCAGTTTTCCTTAATCAGATTGCCAGAAATGGATCAAATATGGGTCAAATTGAACCACTGGGAAGAAGAGGAGAGATTAAACCTCTCCTGAGAATAACTAACGGTGAGCAATTGGGAGAGGCTTCTGCAGTTTGAGGTGATACAGGCAGATGGTTTGAAATAACAAGTAGATGGTTGCCAGCTTGAGCAGCTCTGCCAACAGCAAGGAATAAGCTCAGAGTGAAGCTACATGTTGATAACAGGAAAGAGACTCTTCTAGAGACTGAAGGGATGGTTACTGTCCAAAAAAGAAATACAAGTTGTAGATCAGAAAGCAGGAGCTAAGAACGAACCCTGCGGCAGAGCACAGGTAAGGGATACAGGTGTGTCTGCAAAGCCTTTTGTTAATCTGCCCTGTTCAGCTCAACTGAGTACTCTGTGTTGCCAGGTTGTCTCCTACTAGTTTTGATCATTTTCATGCAGATGAATCTGTTACAAATTGGAAATGGACTCACCTCAAGAAGAGAGAAACATCTAACCTCTTTGGGTTTTTTTATTTCTTTCGTTAACTGACTCTTTCTTGGGCCTTTGTTCTCTCTCATGTACCAGCTCTGTTTGGATCAACATCTGTCCCTCAGGATCTGCCTAGGCAATCCTTCTGGTTTGCTTCCTTCAACAACATATGCGTAGTATTTATTTCTCACTGTACTAACATGAAAGCTTTTCTGGCAACACTCATTTAGATAGGATCTTGGATTATTTCATTTACATCCTGAAATTTCTCACCTGATCCAGTCTAAAGGAATGGCCTTCAAATACAGGGAAAACTGTAACTAAATTTAATTTTAAGGGTTGGGGCTTCTGGGGGGAGTTGGGGGGAAAGAAGTATGTTAGGGGAAGGAAATCTCTTGTGCAAGAGAAAGGATTAACTTGCGTGCATATGTAGGGGAGAGCTTTCCGAGCTGGCATTCAGAGTATACTTGGAGACTTATTCATTGTGTCAATATTGTAATAATGTAATACCAGTACTGGAAAAAAATGTCAGAGAGTGACAGAGTATGATGGATCTTCTTGGAGCAGTCCTCCTTAGGCTCCGAAGGTGTGCTAGGAACCATTAGATTCACATCAAGGATTTCTTTTGGTTCTCACTTGTCCAAGAAGTTTTGATGTACTAATCATTCATCAGAAGGAAGCGCTAACTTCTAATGACAGAATATAGCAAATCTGAAAGAGAGGGTTCAGGAGTTCTCCACAATCATGTTTTTGATCTGACTTCAAGAGTATTTCCTTCATGTTGTCAACTTACTTTTTTTATTGGTGGGAATATTTGGTTTTGGAGTGTGGATGTGATCTCTTTCTGCAGTGATACATGAAGTTCTAATTTGATCATTCCCGAGTGCTTCATATTAAGAATATTAATATTTTGTCTCAATCCCAGATCATTGCTGCTTTTTCAGCTTTCTTTTACAATTACTGTTTTTCAAAGTCAGTTGCTAACCCATGAAAAATGTAGTATAAACAAAGTCCTGGGACTGTCGGACATGGTGAATTTCCATTGCCTTTTGACGTGGAATGTGTTGTGAAAAGTATTGGCTCTAGATCATAATTTTAGATAGGCACTTTAACCCAAATACACTGAGTGGTTTCAAGTATGCAAATCAGTTCATCTTTTTGGTTTTCCTGTTTTAGTACAGCTGGATACTTCTCAAAATCAAGATAATAGCTCTGTGTAACTCTCATATACAATGTATTAATATTCTTTATATTTAATTATGAATATTTAATGTTGCATCTACAAACTATTGTTAGCACTGCAGTGTTTAAGTGACCCTGCTACCCTTGGATTCCTTGACTTGTAATTTAATACTGAGTTTTCTTGGGCAGTGAATAAGGAGCTTTAGGTATCTATAAAAATGTGTTTCACGAAAGCCTGCACACTGTGCAAAGGCACGTCAGCTAGAGAGTAAGTAGATTGTAAGAGAGACCCCAGACCACGCAGAGAAACATTCTCAGTTACACACATTCTCTCAGCGTGAAACCTGTAAACTAGATCAGCCCTTTTTTATTTTTATTGGAAGGTAGAGAAAGAAAAAAGCATCAACTCCTGAGGCCAAGATATTCACCTGGGATATGAAGCCCTGTTTTACACTGCCTACTCTTCCTCATGGGAGAATCCAGTTCTCCAGGGTCTAGTATGGGCATCCTAATAGTTGAACTCAGTTGATGTGGTTTTCTTATTCCCATCTGCCAAAGCTGTTATGTTGCTTATATAGCCATCTAAATAGTCACCAGAGTTGGAGTTGACTTCTTTCCTATATCAGCAAAATAGTCAATTCAGTTTCCTTCATTCCTCTTCCCACCCTTTTCTTAATTAACACATATATTGTAATGTAATAAGATGTGGCTTACAGAATCAAAAAGGAAAACAAAAAAAATCACGTCTGATTTTCTGGTACCTCTGTACATGAGACTACAGGTATGTAGGAAATCTGAATTCTTGACCCTGTTTGAAAGCAGGCTGGCTAGGTTTGCTTATCTTCAGTACGAGTATCTTTGAGGTGGACTCATTGGAAGTCATTGCTGACCCTTGCAGGTACGTCATATGCTCTGAGGAGGTTTCCTATGTCTATATATTTGTGAAGCCTCATCCAGTAAGACCCTGAGACAAATCCTAGCTAATATGGGTTTCTGCCTGAAGCTTGTGGGTATATGTTAGGTGGGGCTTTGCTGTTGGGCTACGTTTATTTGACCGGTCATGCTTACTGATGTAAACTTCATCACACTTGCAATGTGCCCATTGGTGGTGTTGGCAACTGTAAACTTCACCTGAACATAAAGTTTAATTATAAAGTAGCAGATAGGTACTTGTACAGTGAATCTAGCCATTACAGGTTACACTTGATCTGGAGGAGCCAAGAGTGCTTAATGGAAGCTACAGTTCCCAGTCAGGAAGTGCACCCAAGAGATGTCTGTAAAAGTGAGACTGAAGCATGCACCAGAGTCTCCTCTGTCCTTGTTTGCACGGAAAGGAAGACTGGGCATGGAGCCTAGATGGAAGCTGCAGTGTGCTTCAACAGGTGCCCTGATCATTCCAGGAATTCAGAACACGCCACTGCATGTTGCAGCAGCTCAGTCTAGATGCAACACTTTTTTTTTTTTTTTTTTTTTTTTTTTTTGCGTAATACTATTAGAAAACAAAACAGTTTCTTACTAGCACCTTACTGGAGAGACAGAAGATCAGTGATCTGTGATACATCTGCTTGATCTGCATAAGTACATGCTTTTGAAATTATTAGGTTGATTTTCTAATAATAAGCTCCTCTGTAGATTGATTTCTGAATCATTGATTTCTAAAGATTAAGATCTGTAATTTGTCGTGTGGATAGGTGATGTCATTAATTTGTAGGTATGTTAACTTCAGCTTTGACATCACCATTTTAATATGAATTGTGAACTTCAATCCCAACAGACTTGGTTTTATCACGTGCAGAGTAATCTAGTGTATAAATGTAAGCTTGTTCTTTTTACTTCTTTGTTAGTTTTATAGTAATGTATCATAACAGGGCAGGGAGGTGCATGGTTTCCATTCTGGTAAGGGTTTATCTTGTTCTTTTTCTTTCCTTAATGTCTTAATGTAGAGCTAATTCACCTACCCACAGGCTGAATGGGTAAACTGTTTTGTCTCAGGCCAAAGGAAATTTAAAGATCTGCCAGCGTTACCAAAAATCTTGAAGAGGCTAACTTTTTCACTGTAAAAATTGTAACTGTTGAAAGAATTTTCATCAATCTTTAGCAATGAAAATTGTCAGTCTTGATATGGAGAGGTTTCTGGTTTAATATTTTAGAGTTTTGCCTTATCTCTCTGGTAAAAAGAATAACATTAGCTACAGGAGTACATCAGCAGCATGAGATAGAATATTCATAGTAATCCTTTCAGTTCTTCTGGGGTTATAAAATGCAACCAAGTAAGTAACACTTACATGGTTTTTCTATGCTGTGACTTATGCCACTGATAAAAATAGGTCCACAGTCCAGTCTGTGGCATGTGTGGAATCATTGCTATCATCTGTATAACACAGAAATTAAGGCTTGAGTCTTTATTTGGACTTGGAAGAAAGTGACTGGAAGAATAAGCTAAAACTCCCTAGTCTTTCGTCACTCAGCCCTCATGTAAGTTAATGCTGGAAATAAAAAGCACAGTTGTGTCTTAGGTTCTCTAGAGCTTACTACAGCAGTTCAACGCAAAATCAGCAATAAGTCATCTGGTTGCTCTTATTGTAAGTACTGGAAAGTAATTTAACCAAAAAAGGAATCTGCCCTGTAGTCTTTATATATAAATATACATACATATATATATACACACACACACATCTATATGTGTGTATATATATATATATATGTAAAACCTTGGTTAGAAAACATGTAGGTTTAAGAAGAATGCTTGTCAGTGTACGTGTTGTGTGCTATTGCGGCGCCATTGAAATTGCTATGTTAGAATGTAATTCCAGTGAATGCTTTTCACACTACATAAAACTTCCTGCAAACCAAGAATGATGCAAGACTTCACTTTAGTTTCATAGATTTCAACATGAATATTCATTAGTTCTGCATCTTTTCTGGGGAAAGGGAATATACAGTGGGAATTGCTGTTGTTTTTAATGCATATGTTTCATTACATTTGTCATGAAAAATTACCTATCTGTATAGGTAAATGCATGTATATACACCTATTTATATATGTATATGAAGGCAAGAATATATTATCTTAGAGCCTTAGAAATAAATTAATTTATGAGTGGTGTTACTTATAATTGTATATTGCAATTTAGACATAAAGGACAAGGAACTTGATGAATCTTATGAAAAAATGTCTTCTACCTGGTACGTTCTTTAAACAATTGACATAGCTTTCATTAACCAGGTTGTCAGGAGATGTATTTGTATCTGGATTATATAATTTAGTTTCACTTTTACTGGTTATATCCAGTTAGCCGTTCTTAATCCAGATCAAGTACTGTAACACATTTAATACAAATTTTGACAGATAATATGCTTTTTATGTTACCACAGAATGAACGACAAATTTCACATGCTTTAAGATTACAAATAAAGCTATTTTGAATGTCAACTTCCAGTCTGGATGCTCTTGGAAATCTTTAAATATAGATGATTTCCAGGTCAATGGTAGGTTCCTCCTTACATTTATCATTGAACTGACACAAGCCCCTCAACCTTCACTGTTCAGCAGCTTCACACATACCTTGGCCATCTTTTTAGTCGCTTCAGCTCAACATGGAGCTCTGAGCTTGATAAGCGCAGGGACCAAATCCCCTTTGTCATCTTCCATTTGATAGTTTTGTTAGGGCTTAGCAGGGCTCAAGTTTGTTAAAGAAAGAGCCCTGTTGTTGGCCCACTCACAAAAGTGACATTTCTCTCTGTCTCTTTCTTAAAAGTGTGTATTCCTGTGTATATATATTAAAAAAGAGAAGAAAGGACTTTATGCAAGTAAGATACTGCATATTAATAATGCAGTGTTTGATCTAAGTGTTTAGTTAGATTTAACTTTAGAATTTACCATGGTCCAGATTTTAGAACATTCTGCTTGTTTACCTAAATACTTAGATTTAGATTTAATCCCCTGTAAAGCTGCTTAATTTTTAACCATTTTTTTGAAAATATAAAATTTATTACATTGTTTATTATATTGTATTATTATATCTTTGTTAATCCACATGTTGAAATTACTCTTCACTGAAGTAACAATAGATTATTGTTATAGTAATCAAGCATTTATACTTTATTGTTTCATGTTCGTTAATGGGGGGAAAAGAGATTTTCTAATAATAGAGCCAGAAATTTAAAAAAAACCCAAAACAACAAACCACAACATGAATTTAGAACACATTATTTCTTTTTAAGGTATTGTAGATGGAAAGAGCTTGGTAAGAATTTAGTGTTTTTTCTTCTGGTTATATTGTTCATGTGACCTTTGATGATAAAAAGCTGAATTAAAATGTGATAAAATTTGTATCTGCCTATATTAGAAGTTTAGTATGAAATCTGAAATATCATTTCTCTTATTTAGATTTTGTAATTTTGTTTGTTGCTGGTTTTCATATCCTAAAAAAACAAAAGAAAACAGTCCTTTTAATATTGCTATCACTGTCATGATGGTTTGTTGTGATTCATTTTTGTTTGGTAGAATTTTATGATCAAAAAACTAAACTGTATTCTCTTGAAGGTGCCGTGTGTCCTTTAATGAAAACAGTTGTCCATCATCTCAAACAAATCAACAGAGACAGTCTTGGTGTTTCAGGTAAATGACTGCATTACTATGGATATCTAAATTAATTGGTGAATTATGCATATAATCAGAGTCCAACTGACACGAGCTTTAAAACTGAAAGGACAGTGCAGAATGCCACCCACATGCTCCAAAAGCTGTTGTTGTTTTTAGGAAAGTAGGGTTAAAATCGGAACGCATTGTCCTTGGAAAGTATTGGTTCAAGTTCTACAGCCACATTCATTTCCGTTGTTTTTCCCAAACATCCTTCGTTCTTATCAGTTCAGATGATGAAAGGAAGTAACGGATGTATTTCTCAGGTTGCAGTAATCTACTGAGTGAATTTTGCACTGATAGTTTTTCTGTCAATGAAAGGAATATTGGAAGTTTCTCTGACTTAAAGTATTCCTTTTCAAAATAGCTTGTCAGTCTGTACTCTAGAAAGTGACCAAGCATGCTAGAAGTCAGTATTTACCTCCATTTTTAAAATTCCATGAAATAAACGGAATCATTGTATTGTATTTCACAGGGTTCGATCTGGCAGAAAGCTTTTCTTTGAGGCAAACAACTTGTGGAGGGGAAAAAATCTGTTTTAAACTGGGAAGCGCTCCTCTCGTCAGAGACACGAAGTAAGATACTGCTTTCATCCTAAGTCTTTAATAGACAAGCTCAGGCTAAATGCTATTAATGAACTGAAACACTGAGCAGTGTATCCAAAGGATGCCACAGAAAGACAAGTAGGTCTGTTTTCAGGCATTTTCATCTGTAACATTATTCTCTTTGGGAAGGATTTTGATTCAGGTGGGTTTTTTCCTTCTGAAATTTGGATGTACTTAGGAAGAAAGTTAATTGCAAATATCTTTTTCTCAAATCTTGATTCTGACACTGAAAGCTCTACTGTTTATGTATAATTTTTTATAAAGCAAAGGAAACAGAACTTCCATGGTATGACAAGAAGTGTTATACTAATCTTCCCTCAGTTAAACTGGTTGTACTCTCTCTCATTACTGCTGTCAGGATTAAAAAGAGAGAGAGAGTCAGTATTTCCTTAAACGCTATATTTTCCTTAATTTTTTTTTTCCAATGGAATTGGCATCTTGCCTTTTAGCAGCAACAGAATAGTGTATACTCAGTGTAGAGGTGAAACTAGACAGCATCCTGTTCTGACACAGGGTGGGATGAAAGGCAGAGACTGCATGAAAAATCAAAAGGAAGGTGAAATAGAGTAAGGCACAACGGGACTGGATGGATTTAAGTTTGCACGGGGCAAGGAAATGGCAAGAAGCAGTTAGGAATGTAGTTTCAAGTTCGCTATGCTCAGTGGGGGGAGAGAGAATCATCTCTGAGCCTCTTGGTTGAGATGTGCTCTGAGTCATGGGACTGTGGTTTCTGTACAGCATGTTCCTGTGATGACGAGGGAAGCAACTGTATTCCTGTGTCTTCAGGTTGGGTATCCTCTGTTGCAAGAGGTCTGGCTCCAGCTTGCCTGGGAAAAAAAGCATCTGACCCTCAGAGCTCCCCTTTGGTTGGATCCTGGACAGAGCAAAAAGACGCTGTGGGTAGTGTGAAGCCAGGAGAGAGGAATCTGAGGCACCCAGACACAAAACAAAGTGATCTTTGGGAGAGAATGATTAAAGAAATAGGACCTAAATATTCTAGATTACTAGATAGTTTCTAAGTTTTTCTGAGGTGTTAGAAACTGTAAATGCTAATTTTTTTATGCTTGTGTCATTCTGCAGTTAAAGTAATCTCTCTCTTTTTCTAAATACCCTGAAATGTTGAAGGAAAAACTAGTAGATAAAATTACTTGACATAGAGAGTGCTCTATTGTTATTAGAGCCTTCTCAGTATTATCAAGATTGTTTTTAGAAGAGGAACAGGTAAAATTAGGTGCCACCCATAACATATCTTTATTAAAAATATTTTGAAAGTTAGTAAGAAAACTTTTTTAAGTCCATTGTTCATTTTACAGATTTTTACAGATTTTTTTCAATGGATGGAAATTTGAGGGAAATGTGAGACTATAGAAGAGTAGAAAATCAAGGCAGTAATAAAAAATGTGGGACAATTTTCCTTTAGGAATAAGAAGCTAAGTAGTGCTTTGTGGGCAGTGAAACACATATTGAAAGCTGATTTATTTTATTCTGAAACTGTAAGAAAATCAATGGCAAAAATGGAGTGAGAGGAGCTAGAAATTGGAAAAGGGTGAATTATTTGAAATTCATATTACTTTGAGGGAAAATTCACAATTTGAAATAATTGATTTCTAAGAATTTGGTATTTTTGGAAGGAGTCTGACAGGTGATTTTAAAGTTGAAAAATGTCAAGCTTTTTTCCTAGCTTTTATTAGTAGTCTTGAATACTAATGTCTGTGCTTTATTTTCTTCTTTTACAAAAGGTTTATTAGTGAAGGCAGTGAAAATGGGGAATTCACGTCATGCCTGATAGCTGTGGCTTAGCAAAGCCTTAACTCTTAGCGGTTGCAAGAAAAGTACTCTAGAAAGACAGAATACTTTTTTTTTTTTTTTTTACTTTAACCTAGAAGACAAGTGATTTGACTTTAAAGATCTCTTGCTTCTTGCATCCCTCTCCTTCCCTGTTACTTTCTTCTGTGTATCCTCATTAAAGAAAAACTAAAGAGAAAATCTTTCCAGTTTCCCCTAAAAATATGCATATCCAATAGATGAAAACTTTAGCTGGATGAAACAATTGAGACGATTAATAAAACGCATAACAGTGCTAATGTATGCATAAAGTTAGGCTGATAATTAATATCACATTATCAATGCTAATCAGGCACAAGATAAGCTTTTCTGTCAGCTTGCTGTACAAGTAAATAGGACCTCTTACATATATCTCCCTGAACTGAAAAAGGGTTAGAAGTATTTTCAGTAACAGTCAAGCACTGCAGAAATTCCATTAAATCCTAGCTGTTCATTACAATAGCCTTGCTTGTGCTTTTTTAACCTCTTTTCACAGAGAAATGCATGTCATCAAGAATAGAATCTACTTTTTTTTTTTATTTGATGTGTTGAATATATAATAGTTTTGTTTTGTTGAGATAACACATCAGACAAGATTTTTAAAAATTATTTGTTTAAAGTATTTTTTATAGTTTTCTGAAATTCTGAGTTGGTTTTTGAAAATAAGGGCAGAGGGCAGCCAGGAGCACAAAGTCAGGTTTTGACATGGTAGGGTTACAGTGAAGGATAGTCAGGAACTCGGGTATCTGTCATCATAACCTTATAATTTACTTTATCTTAGTTAACCATGCACAATATTTTTTAATATATTATTTTTATTTAAATCTCTTACATTATGTCAGATGGTGTGGTTCCAGACCCCTTGTATTATTAGATGCACAGAGGTTTTTAGAATAATTCAGCATCCGAAAACATGTTAGTAGACGTGGTAGTGCAGCAAGCAGCAGAACAGTGTTTGTTATCCATCCTGCAGGAAACTGAGAGTATCTGATTAAGCTGACTAGCAAGTATCAAGTAACTTGGCATGTCTCCTCTTGCATTTCATTCATTCAGTCTTAGTGTGGGTAATAGAAAGCTATGCTGTGCCATTTTTCTTACGTGATGCCATTTTGGTTTTTTTCAATGGACATGGAGTAGTGTTGCACCTATTTATATGTTGTAAATAATTTACAATGCAATGTCAGCTTGGGAAATCAATTTTGTCTATTAATCTTTAATTTTATTTATATTTCTTATCTTTATCTCTTTTTGTGACGGCGTATTGTATGTATTTTGTCTTATGATAAGAGATGGATATCTTTTCTTATGCTCCATGTAAATAACTATTAAATATTAATTAAATTCTAATAATATTTTCAGGATTAAAGAGTGCTTTTTAATTTAAAATACTGTGAGGTACTTATCGCAATTCTTACATGGACACTAATAGAATTTATTCCTGAGTAAAGTAGTATAACAGCCTTTGAATCCTAAAGAAAGTCACAGTAAAATACCGTTATGCACACAATCTAATTATAGCTTCCTAATAATAGTAATTGTATAATGTTTAAATTTTATTTCAATAAATACATTATGGAGTCACATTTTGTTCCCTAGTTTAACACGTACTTCCTACGCAGTGTATTCAAGTTTGTCATAGAGCTGGCTGACAAAAGTAGCACAGGGCTCTGTGCTGATAGCAACTCCTTTAGATCTGCCAGCAGTATTCAGAACTTCTGGACGTGAGGTCTTTTAGGCCAATCTTTGTTCGTTAGTTGCCTTAGAGTAAATAGCAGTATACTGAAGTAATTTCACTATCCTTTTCTAAAGATGCATCAGATGTCAGTTCTTGCTCATTCTCACTTTTCTGGGTTGCTGGTGGAACATTTTTCTTCTCCTTTGAAAACACCAATAAAGGAAATAGTAAGTTGATTTCGGCTGAGTTTTAGAATGTTTAGCAAATCTTAATGGCACAGTCATGGCTTTCTTATTTTGTAGTTTGTTTGGCTTGACAAACCATATTAATTTACTGAAGTGATTATCATAGCTGGCTGTTAAATCATCTCAGCATTAGAGCAGTTGGGATTACTCTCACAACTTTTTTAGGAATTCTTCCCCTTTTGGTGTGAGATTCTGCAAAAGAGCTTGGATTTTGACTGTATTTGGACTAGGGCGCTCCATCAGCAATGTTATCACTCGCTGCTGCCAGAAGAGCTGTGGCTGTGGCTTGGGCTGTATTTCAGAGAAAGCGTTTCACCTTCTTGTGATGTCTAATTACTGGATGCAGAAATACTCTTCCCACTTCTGTTAGTATATTCCAGGCTTGAGATTTTTTTCTGCTAAGAACAGAAATTGATGATGAAAGAATATTTATGTGGGGGTGTTTTGTTTGTTTTTAATGTTAACCTTTTCAATCACAAAAAATGCATAAGGAATTGCATTTCCTAGAGCACAGCTGGCATCAAGTGAGGCAGTTTCTGTGCTCAGCTTTTTCATAGGTAGCATTTTGCTCCTCAAAGGCAACTGTCTCTGGGTGTCTTTGCAACCATTTACTTTACCATATGTACAACTATCTCTGGTTGTATCTGCTGGAACTTCTTTCTTCGCCAAAATAATAAATACCAAGACCCTTGCATTTGACTTCAGGTGGCAGTGATTGCCCACATGGGCATGACTTCTGATTAGCTTTGCGCATAGCATTTGTTTTGGGCAGCGGAGGCAGATTCAGCAGTATCCTTGAAAAATATTATTGAGATATATATTAAGAGGTCTTATAACTATTTCTTAAATACAATATAGAATGAATAGATGTGAACTTCACCAGTTTCCAAAATATTTCATTGAAGACTTCTAAAATGCTTACTGAAAATGGTGATGAGATGGCAACCCTGTTGGGTGGCAGTAGTTACAGTTGTGCTAACCAGCTTTTATCTGTGCTTACACAAAGTCCTGTTAGCCATTGGTCTATTAAAATATTAGATAGTTATGTAAGAAACCACCTCTCCCTTCGTATATCATGTATTTATTTGGGGTCATTTGAGCTCTTGGAGCCAACAATGCTAAGACTGAAATGTCTGGTATTTTGGTTGCAGGGTATTTTCAAGAAAAGGGCCTTGTCTTTGGAATTTGCTTCCTGAGTGTGGGAGCCTGAATTTAGTATAAATCCT